TATATATATATATATATATATTAGATTTTCTAAATATATAATATTTTTAAGATATATATATGTGGCGGTTCCTTATGCCGCCCAGGACCGCTACCCGCATAGCAATCGGTCGCAGCACGCGCGCGCACAAGTACCGCAGCTCAGCCCCCAGGGGCTGGCGCGCCTAACAAAAACCCGCGCTCAAGATCCGCCCGGCAGGAGATATAAGGTTCGCCGGAGCGAAGGAAGACACGTTCATTTGCATTTCCGAGCAACGTGTATAACCAGTGGCTAACTGGAACGCATTTTGAAACGGTCAAAGATGCCTACTGGCAGGAGAGCAACAGTGATCCTGCACCTGGAGCAGTCGGACGCAGAGGTACCGCCCAACCGCAGCAACACCAGCCGACCAGCAGGATCACAGCAACACCGCAATCCGGCAGCGGAGGAGCAGCACGACTTCGCAAAGGAGCAACAGCAACTGGTAGGCGCGGCCACAAAGCAACAAAAGCAGCAGATTCCAGGAACTCCTCGATCGCCGTCGCCAGTAAGGTGGAGGCTCCTTCCGATAGAAGCATCGCCGCAGCGCCAGAGGTTGACGCGACCCCCGCGAGTGTTTCTTAGTACTCCTGACTCCGGAGGTATACATCATCGAGCTACTTCACCATCTCGGCTGCTATCTCGCCGCTGCTCGTGCCACTCCCTGCCGTCGTCACCAGAGACTCCGTGCCGACGACGACAACCAGTACGCAGACCTCCGGCAACGAGTGGAAGACCCCACCGAAACCGCGGCTGGGGGAGTCCTCGGCCTACGCCGCCAGGGATATCGCCGGCCTGGCGAAAGAAGGTCACCTTCCGACTAAAGGTGGATGACAATAACGAGCTATGGGGCCCCGCTAAGGTGACGCGTTGCCAGTCCCCGATCAGGTACTCTTAGTGCAGTAGATGACGCGCTACAAACAGTCCTTTTCAGGACGACACAAGTACCTCCACCGGCCCTTTTCAGGGCAATCTCCATTATACATATTTCTGTAAATACATCGTAAATAGTATCACGTCTCAGTCTTGTCACTTGAGCGAAATCCTTCCAACTTGCCGACTACTACGAGAATAGCTATTGCGCTACAGGCGACAGTAAGGCCGAAGGCGACGGCCGGCTGTAATAAAATTATTGTATAAGATTGAATCTTTAAAAAATAAATTTTTAAAAAATTGTTGCATTTAAAAATATATTGAATTGTTAGAAAATATATATTAGGTGCGCAATTTAATTCTCAGCCCCTAACTTCAATCAATAAGCTTATTCAAATTTGCATATCTTTCTCGTCATATAATCATATTGGAGCGCCATCTTTCAACTTTCAAATGCACTGTAATTGTTGGCGGTTGTATTATACTATCTAACTTTAAAAAAGAGTGTTAAAAGCAATGAGGTTCGAGAAGCAGCATTTGGTACCTTCTTTTCGCTTTTCAATTAAAAAAAAATGTTACTAAAGCATAGGAAATGATTTGTTTGGCTTTGGGAGAGGATGTTGTTTCTTACAGTATCTGTAAAAAGTGATTCCAGCGGTTTAAGAGAGGAAATTTCGACCTTGATGAAAAACGTCCGGGATTGCCAAAGAAAGTCAACGATGAGGAACTGAAACAACAGGAAGAGAATTCCTGTCGCACACAGTCAGAGCTCGCACAGAAACTCGGAGTAACAAGGCAAGCCATTTCTAAGCGTCTACATAAGCTGGGGAGGATTTAAAAGGAGGGTCATTGGATTCCCCACAAACTCACAGCTGAGAACAAGCGTAGACGCTATGATAATGCTGTGTCGTTGCTATTCCAATTTAAACAGAAGAATTTTCTGTAAGATTATAACTTGTGGCGATAAATGGATCCTTTACGATAATCCAAAGAGGCAAAAATAATGGATTTATCCGAGACAGCCTTCGAATAGTATTACAAAACCGAATATAAAACCACAACATGCCAAGAAGGTTTGCTGTGTATATGGTGGGATCAGCAGGGCGTCGTTCATTACGAATTACTCCAACCTGGTGAAATGATCACTGCTCAATGTTATCAGCAGCAATTGATTCGTGTTGACGCAATGGAGGAGAAAAGGCCTTATACCGGCAAGGAAAAAAGGAAAGTCATCTTGCTTCAGGATAACGCGCGGCCACACATAGCAAAAACGACTTTGAAAACGATCATCGACTTGAGCTGGGAAATTTTATCGCACCCAGCGTATTTTCCAGACTTCGCCCCCTCAGATTACATCTTTTTAGATCCTTGAACATCATCTGACTGATACTCATTTCACTTATGTCAAGAATGTCGAGAAAAGTATGGTCGAATTTATAAATTTAAACCTTCTTTTTTCGGAAGTGGAATTCGATAACTTCCCGAAAGATGGCGCAAATGTATATAAAAGGAAATTATTTTGAA